TTCGACTCTGGCCATGGTTCGAATTCTCGTTTCACCTTCAATCATCACCCAGTATAAATCATCATCATCATCATTATCAACATAGGACCAGGCATTACTGCGTAACGGTCCGAGTTGCCACACCTCACGTCAGTTCATCAAGTAGAAAGGTAGTGAAGTGAAGGATGAAGATAAGTGAATGCAGTCAAAAGAAATATAAAGTAGCAGAAGAAAGGAAAGAGGAGTGACAAGATGAAAAGATTCGGTATAGCGTTGTTAAGATGAGGATAATGTGTGTATACATCTACGCCACTGACTTCGGTTCTCAGCCATATCACCTAGGGTCTCCAACCACTGGTTCCTCTTGTCCCGTGGACCCCAACCACCTAGTCTGCATCGTCCTACATGGCTTAAACCAACAATCAGAGACTTCATACATTGGTGCCATGTTTTAGTCTGGCCAACTTCAGCCGTTTTCCAGCCTGAACCCACCTCAGCCAACATTGTGTGACGAGGCAATCGGTGACTAGGCATACGTAGTACGTGTCCCAACCATCTCAGTCGATGAAGGTTCACAACCTCGTCGACTGACTTACCTCTTCTCCCTAAAACTCTACACCTAACTTCTGCATTACTCACATGGTGACACCACGGAATACGTCCTATACTACGAAGGCAACGGTGGTCAAACACCTGAAGCCTTTTTATATCTTCCACTTTCAATGGCCATGTTTCACAGCCATACAGTAGAACAGAGCGGACTGCTGTGCAGTACACGCGACCCTTAATAGACAAACGAATATCACGGCGGCGCCATAGGTGGCGCAAATTGGCAAAAGCCAATCGAGCCTTTTGTATCCGTGCAGAAATCTCATCGGCAACTAACCCACCGGGTTGATCCTACTTCCCAGGTAAGTGAAGTGGTCAACACACTCAACCACTTCACTCTCTATTGTTAACCGCGGTACCGCTGAAGACCAGTCCTGGAGCAAAAATTTGCATTTGGGTGGTGAAAATCGCATCCCAAACATTCTCAAATTCCCACTCAAAGTGTTCAGAAGACTCTGCATCTTGTCAGCGTCTTCACCTAACAGGACTATGTCATCTGCATATTCTAGATCTAAGGAAAATTCACCTGTGATTCGGTCAACGTCTTTGTAATTAGGTGACGAGAGGGAAACCTCCATAAGAATATCTATGATAAAATTAAATAAGAATGGGGATAGTGGGCATCCTTGACGGACACCACTTGATGAGTATAGCTCCCTGGACAACTCACCATAGGCTCTAACATGCCCACAAGTGTTCGAGTAGAGAGCTTTCAATAAGGTGATGTACTTACTAGGCACGCCTTTCAGTGACAGACACTGCCATAAGACTTCTCGATCAACGGAGTCAAATGCCGCCTTCAGGTCGAGAAATACAGCTATTGTCGGGCGTCTGTAAGCATGCCTATGTTCCAGGACCTGGCGCAGTGTGAATATTTGGTCGATACATCCACGGCCAGGTCTAAAGCCTGCCTGGTTTTCTCGGGCTTGCTGTTCCCGAGCTCCACTCAGGCGTCGGAGAATTATAGAACTTAGGATCTTAGACACTATGTTTGTCAGGCTGATTCCTCTGTGGTTATCACAAGAGGACTTCTCGCCTTTCTTGAAGACTGGGATGATCAGTGACTTAGACCAGTCGGAGGGGATCGTATTTGATTCCCATATACTGGCTAACACTTCCGTTAGCCTGACTAAGAGAACTCTACCACCATTCTTGTATACCTCAGCAGGTAGTCCGTCTGGTCCTGCTGCCCTTCCCGTTTCAGGCTACCTACCGCTTTCTCAACTTCTTCTAGTGTTGGGGGACCTGTCTCTATGTCCCATTCAGGGTCCGACTGGATAGCGGGCAGCGCAATGGTGGCTGGAGGCCAGTTAAACTGTTCCTCAAAGTGTTCTGCCCATCGTCCCAGTCGCCTTCCCTGCGAGTGAATCGCCGATCCGTCCTTCTCCGCTATAACCTCACTAACTGTTGTTGACCATTTCCCCCCAGTCTCCTTAATAAGTCTAAATAACTGTCTACTGTTACCGATCGCCGCTGCCTTTTCCATCTCTTTAGCCTTTGCTGCCCACCACTGTTCACGATCGTTGCGCAGACTTTTCGTCAGTTTATTTTTAAGTTGCGCTCGCTCTTCATTGTACTCAGAGCCTGCAGGGATGCATTCACGTGCATCCATTAGTTTGGAAGAAGCTGCTGATATCCACTGGCTCTTTTTAGCCATTATCTTGGAGTCGGCTACAGTCTCCAGTGCTGCTTTTACAGTAGACTGAAGATGGCACCAAGCTTCTTCTGGATGAGTGACAGTCTTTTGTTCCGATAACTGCCTAGCCAACTTCTCACTGAACACGGCTTTGGTGTTTTCGTTGTCCAGCAGAACTCGTAGTGGTTTTGTTGCCAAATTTTTTCTACGTCCATTGAGACGCAGGCATATACGTGCTCGGACCAACGCATGATCGCTGTCCAAACACGTACTCCAGAAGGAGCGGCAGTCTTCCACCGATCCTCTCCAGCGATGACTAATAGCAATGTGGTCTATCTGTGTCCATCGCTGAGTCGAGCTCGGTGGACGCCAGGTCAGACAGTGCCTTTCTTTATGTCTGAAATTTGTGCTGGCTAAAAATAGGCGGTTATCTGAGCATAGTTGTAATAGGCGATCACCGTTATCTGTACGTTCAGCTGGGATTCCGAAAGTGCCACCTAAGTGCCTTTCTGCCTCACTCAGTCTACCCACCTGTGCGTTGAGGTCACCTGCAACAACCACTACGTCCGAACGTTTGGCTTTCGAGAGGAGGTTAGACAGTTTATGGTAGAACTCGTCCTTCACTTCATCCGAACTACAGTCAGTGGGTGCGTAAGCAGAGATTACAAAGAGACAACGGCGAGTCTCACTATTCCTTTTAGTTCTCACTGTGCCGTTCAGCCTCATAGCGCAGAGGCGACTATCAACTGGGATCCAGTCTAGTAGTGAGTTTTCTGCCCTGGTGCTTAATGCTATACCTACACCTGCAAGACCACGAGAGCTAGCTATCGAATCTCCAGAAACTCGAAGGGTGAATTTTGCAGATTCACCAGATTGGTCAGGAGAGGTCAGGTGAATAACCACACTTGGGTCCTGTATGCGTGTCTCACAAACACAGCACACATCCATGCCCGAGTTGCTAGAGTCTTTGCCAACGAAGCCTGTTGGCCAATTTGACGGAGGGTGCGGACATTGAAGGCTCCAATATGTAATTTGGAGCGTGGTTTAAGGAGACCAGGGATGCTGTTCTGTGGACTCAGATCGTTGTCGAAGGCTGCAGAGGTAGGAGAAATTGAAGATGATGCAGCATCATTAATTAAGAGACGTGAAGGAAGATTAGAAGGTAATGATGGAGGAGGAGGATAGCAGTCAGAAGAAACTTGGGTGCTGACAGAGTTGTGAGGGCGGTTGACACTTCCCGGCTGCCCACACCGTGGAAGGCTATTTCTTCTTAAGGTACCTGAAAGAGATTTGTGTGACCGCAGAGCCCATCGGACATCTGCTTGAGGCCTGTCACACCCAGCCTTTTGAGTATGATTATTTTGAATTTTTGTATTTTTGGGGCCGGATGAGCGAAAGGAAACGACAAGTGAACCAACACCGCCGGCCCGGCAGACCGTGGGGCGTGGTGGAGTGTGTTATTTTTGGGGCCGACCTTTTCTAACCCCCCCTTCCACTGAGAAGGCAGCATCAGCTTGGCACTGCTGGTCATCCAAGGGAAACACCTTACTGCTGTCACACCCCATCCAGCTAGCAGCAGTACGACTTCGCCCTCAGACCCCCATCATAGTGTAGCAATTTACACCATAACGGTAACTGCTTTTCGTCTAACCACTACCCAACAGACCTTTCTGGTATGGTAGGACCTCGAGGGAACAAGCGTTCCACCAGCATAGCTCGTTGGGTCATTGTGATATGCAAGCCCGACCACCACGTGAAGGTAGCAGCTATCGGTCGGGACCCAGTATAAATACTTCTTATCTACTTATGTCAGCAGAACGAAGTCGTTACATTGAAAGACCATCATCTCCTTACCTACTGAAGGAGTTCAATGGACTGTTGATATACGAATTTGATAGACAAATATGTTTGTGATACGTTTAGCCTAAAAGTTTAAAACTTAAATTTTCAGATGGGCTCTACACACGGAATACTTTTGAATTGGTTCAGCCAGATGACAACTACATGTTTTTTAGTAATAATTAACTTGGATTTACCGTATACATAATGTATATTTTATTAACAACCTCTAAGGTGGATTATTTTAAGTTCAAAGTGTATTTAGTTAGTAAAAACAGTTCAAACAGAATTCTTTCCTACCAAGACTTCCGTCAGACTTGATAAAAAGTGTCATTAAAAGAATTTATACTTTTACTTAAATTAATGTAATCAGCAAAAAGTCCTACTCCACCTAGATTTCTTGTTTTTAAGTACTCATCAGCAAGGCATATCAACAAACTACACAAAACGGATGTCCCATATGGGATTTGAACACGTGTCATATAGTGGTATAGTCAAAGATGATACCACAAAGCTATTTGGGCCACAACTGACCATCTGTAAGACTGGATTGGGCACACTGATGTTAACTGAAGAACAATCAACCTCAGGTTGTCTAATCCTAAATACTGAGTGAATTCTAACGACCACCTTATATTTGGATATCAACTTATTATGCTCCAATTAAAATTTTAAGGTGAGTTGTATTCTGCAGTTGAGACCGATACAAATGAAGACTGACTACCACTCATTAAACCAAATAAATTGATAGTATCTCAACAGTGCTGTACAATGAAGACGAATTCACTTTCATCGATTGTTTCCCTACATCTTTATGCATGTACATTTATTACCACAACTCTAGTTGTTTCCTTTTGATTTTCATGTTTTACATCTCTTGAGTACACTTTTCTACAGTTTTATTCAACTACTGTTCTTCTTTTGTTCATCTCTGTAGAATAAGTCTTTGACCAAAACACATCTGAATGAGGATTCGAAATCAATATCTCCAGTCTGTTCGCCTCCTTCATCATCTTCGTCAACACCAACATCAACATCAACATTTAAAACGCCTAAAAAACCCACTATCATGTTAGAGGAAGAAGGAGAAGGTAATTTAGAGTGTAACATTTTAGCATATCTCTCATGTATTCACTTAGAACAAAAGTGTTCTTATCTTATTTTCATGGTAATGATGGCAGTGATAATTGTTTCTGCCAATATTTTACACTGGTCTCATCAAAAGCCAAACAGCATTATCCACTTGGCCAAAACTTGTCATAAGAACTTTGAGAAATCTCATCTCCAAACAAGTTACTGGTGAGCAGTGGAGAGTAATTCCAGTTTTCAGGGTTGTGTGGATGAACTGCTTGATTTCAAATTGGTTTACATCATGGAATGACATCACTTGGAGAACTATTGAAAATCTGGGAGCACTGACAGCTACTTCGTCCTACTATCAGATTCCTAAGAAGTGACAATTCATGACCATACCACAAATCAAACCAACAAATAATCTTCACCATTCGCTGCAAACACATCGTCATGTAAAGTTGTTTCTAATACAACTCACATATTCTCACCAACATACATATGACAAATCTTAATTCTTCTCTGTGTCATCGCTTGAATTACTACTTTAATTGATGTCGAGGATTTACCGACCCTAGTATGAATTAATTAATACAAATAGGAACACTGATTGTAGTCGGAATATTTGATTCATATCAGTCTCTGGTCAGTAACAAGTCCCCACAGATTTCCAATAGTTCGCTGCATAATCTTAATTCATTCTGCATACCAATCCCCAAACTGGGATCACAGTAAACACGAGTGGTTGGCATATGATTACTCAATTAAATTATGAAGCCTCAGGTCTCTTCTCATCCGGTGTATCGACATACTGATTTGATGAATAGAGTTGCGGGAGTTCTCAATGAAGTCACTCTGAATATGACTACAAGTTGTCTTCATGTGGTGAAAACGGTCACTAGAAACATACTATTTCCAACTGCTTATTCATACTACACAACATCCAGAGTTGATGTTTATTCATTTGGTTCTGTGTTCAACGACATTGTCTGCTGCTGTAACGAACAGAAAGGTAGAAGTAAACTTAATTGACGGGAAACCATAGGGACGACAAATCAGGTTAGAGATGATACATATCAAGGTCACTCTCCTACGTCTGTTCACCATGTTGTTTATGCTGCTTAAGCTGCTTATGAGTTACGATGACGATTACATCGTTGGTTATTATCAGTGAGTGTGTTGGATTCCTGGTGATGAGTCTAAATTGTGAATGTGGTAGCATAATGGACTGTGTACCTCAAGTAAATATAACCTTTCACACATCAACTTGAAATCCTCTGTCTGTGTATTCATATTCATTTGGCATTTTAGTTACGTAATCTAATTTCTTTTAATGTCTTATTATTTTTATTTTAAACATCCATTTTCCATAACTTATTTCCTACATTCCTTAGTCAAAAAGTCTGGTTGAAGAGTTAGCTCATTTACAAACCGTATGCCTTCAAGCTGTATAAGTTGTACTGTCATGATCAGTGGCACTTATCAACCCATCTTTTTTGGTTCTGTATGTATGAAATCATTCACTATAAAGCTGTTAACCTGACTTTTATATTTCTTTGACTTCATCATTGTAGTCTTCCTAAGAATTTGATGAAGTTAATAACATCTCAGTGGCATGAACCACTTTCAGTCAGTGAATAATTTAACGACTTGACTCATGAGTTACTCAAAACACTACTGTATACATGTATAAGAAGTGGTCAGTTGGTGACCGACATAGTTGTGAAGTTACCAATTAGGGAACAATGAAATTATACTCTTCGTACAATGTTCAATGGGACTAGGATAAGGAATAGTCAATTAATGTGGCACCTAGTGCTTATCGTTGTGCCACATCAAAATACAACCAGGTAATTTGTAGTTTATTTGGACAATGTGATATATTTACGCAATACATTTCCAACAATTCGACCACATATAAAACCGATGGGCGGAAGGATAAATATAACAATTAAGATAATAGGGGATTAAAATTAAGAAAGATGAGAACAAACAGGAAGAATGACATAGTTGATCCTAATCTTGATAAGAAAACAAAGTTTACCAAGGTAGGTGTGTATCGTAAGAATAAATTGTTTTTGTACACATAAAAGTGGTTTCAAAATGCCTATGGCTATCGTCACCACAAATCTCAGCATGCATCCTTGACTATTTCAATTCAAAACTTTGAAAAATATTTGAATATTACTTTTATAACCTGTTTATACAGTATGTTTAGCTACAGATGAAGAGAGCTATCTTCTATATGCACTTATCAAAATTTTCACACTCCATTTATTTTTGAAACCATTTAGATGCATTTTCTCTCACCTTCAACTGCATGGCTCGATTACTCCTCCCTTTGTATCTGTAACCATATACAGATGTAAACTGGTAAAAACATTGGGATATGGTGTAATTATTTGTGCAGTGTCTAGGTTTGCGGTGAAGCATAATAGGTTTTACTAATACGAATGGCTGATTTTAACTAACGTCTCGAAATTACACTATTCAACTACCGTGTGTATGGTACAGTGGTATGGCCACTTCTCTTAGAAACTGTGTATAGAGTTGACTTTGATGCTACCTGACTTCTACAACGATTTATAAACTTCAACACCTTTTCTATTAGTGCTTTGGTCAGTATTATGGTATATTCATTCATCGCATCAGATGTACAGATATGATAGTACTCACTTGTATTGGGTAGGACAAAACCTGTGAAAATTTAGGTATTGTCCTGTCCATGTAGGCTTTTTGTAGACTGATCATCTTATAGAACCACCTTCTTGTCAATTCAAGGGTACATCTAAGAAGAACAGATGATTATTATCCTCTTCCTCACAAGTCAGACTGAGATGAGTTTGTACTGTATTAAGTCTTTTCAATCGACAGACTGTATCCTCTCTCACACCTCTCACAAATCACTACGATGTCATCGGCATTTCTCTTGTTTAGAGGAACCTTAGCGATGAGATCACCAGCTAGATTTGGTACATATGACGTAAAAGTAAGTAGCTTGTGAGGATGGTATAGATATGATCTCAGTGTGCACACGAAATCAAAACACAGTTTTCCTGAACTTCTGACTTCTGCAACGAAATTAATCGGATTATGAGTAGAGTTTGCCGCTCATTCTCTATCTAAATATACTTTTTTTTGTCTGATCGATATGATATGACTCAAACTTTCAGTGACTCCAAAAAACAGTAAGTGCTTTCACGCAAATACATACATCTGTATACATTTTTGTGTGTGTGTTCATTTTTAATGACCTGCCAAATAGATTGTTAGGTCATAGCAATAGAATTCAAGATTTAGTCTGCTTGGTGTCTAGCAATGGGATCTAGGATGCGCGTCTCGTTCTGTTTGGAACATGTCAGCTGGATGTACCTGCCTCCAAGTGGTCGATGTTTTCCCCACTAATACTTGAACCGTGACCGATAGCTTCAAGCCCCAGATCGTTATCCGTAATTCTTCTGCAACGGGTATAGCCTTAATGTTGTTACTTGTATTATCCCGTCGCTGATTGATGCCCAGACGCCCGTATGCCAATAAATACCAATCAGTTCGGTCCAGTCAACGATGGAATAATACAAGTAACAACATTAGTGCTCATTCATAACTACCAGAAAAACTGAGTCCAACATCATCAAGTCTCTCAGTGATTCCACTGAATGTGAATCCCACAAGCTACATCATTCCACTTTCCTTAAATATGTCATACAATATGACCGTCAAACGACACTAATTACCTTATGAATGCGATGTGTAAACCATGAAGCTATTGAGCCGCAGTAAGGATATAAATCAACGCTAATTGACGGAGTTCTAACCTAATTATATGTGGAAATCATCTAAATGGGTAAAAGAAGAAAAGTATGGAGGCGAGACACTTTAATATGACGAATAATTTGTCACCATTATTTTTGTTCTCAAAGATCAACAACCATCAGTTACTTTCGCAGTCATAATGGAATTCAGACAAATGCTTCCAAAGCTTCAAATATCGTCTCAACTGGTTTTTGTAGAAAAGATCCAGTTCTTAAAAGAAATTAGTGTATTTTTTAAAAGCAGTTGATTTCTGGTAATGATTAAAAAATAATCAAATAACCCCAGAGAAAGAATTTTTTTAGAAAACAGTAGATTATTGTGGACAGAGATTGGGTCATAAACCAAACTGTGTAGTAGTAAGTTTTACAACTATAGTTCCGAGTGTAGTTGGTTCGATTCTGTGAGGAATGAGTTTTTGTAAAACTGTAAACATATTTTGCTAATGGGTATCACCACGAAGGGAATATAAGTGTTTGAAGTTCTACTAAATGTCCTGCATTTCAGGCTGGATTCATAAATTGCAGTCTGCACTAAAAAGTAGATAAAATAACTCTGATAACCCTCTTCAACAGTCGTTTATAGCATCTTTTCACATTATCAATATTTCAGTAAAATTTGAAAGAAAATAGATGTTAGAGGAAAGTTTAGTTCTCTTTTTCATCCTTAAGCGAGGTTCATTTCCAGCACTAACAGTCGAGAATACTTTTTCGTTATATATGATCTAATCTGTAGTATTAACTTAAGCTTACTAATTGGAAAATTCACTATTTCATCTTGGTAAACTGAAGTGTTGTCAAGTACTTGGGAGACTTGGTAAAATTTTAAGATCGATATGCTTAATACCGAATCGTTAAAAGCTATTTGTAAGGGACCTTAGAATCAGACCTTTTTGTAACTCTTGGGACTCAGTGACGAAATTAATGTTCAACTCTCAGGGACTGATGCCGTCTGAGAGATTCATACTTATATCACTTAGTGCAACGGTCACAAAAGTTACTACAACTGACTTCCTATAAGATTGAACGGAATAAAATGACCAATAGTTGACTTCAGGTAGGTATTCACAATGGAGTGATGTTAGTTGCAGAACCGTTGAAAATCTGGAGGTATTTGACAGTTGTTTCGTCCTAGTATGAGACTCTTAAGTAGCGCGCACCCATAACCCCGCCGGAAATTGAATCCCGGACTTTCAGGTTCCTCAGTGAGAACGTTACCAGTGAGCCACCAGGTTGGAATCCGATAGTCCACATTTCTTAATTCTGTCAGTTCACGGTATAGCGTGGGCTCCACCCAACGGTTCTCCAGATGATGTCAGTCTGTGTTGAAGTCAACAAATGAATCCTCACAAACCTCCAAGTTTATTATTATTATCTGGTCTTTAGGTTCCTAGTCGAACATAAGGCTTCACTAGCACGTCGCCATTTCACTCTATTCTCTCCAGTCTTTCAAACCTCACAACCTCTTATCTATTCCTCACACAGTCTCCTCCGTAACACACTCACCTCGGACACCCAACTCGTCGTTTCGCATTTGATTTCCACTCAACAGCATGGCCTGGCCTGACCTGACCTGACCTGGCCTGATCTGGCATCACGCGTCATGTCCCCAAACCATCTTCTCAGTCTATGCCCAATACTGTTCAAACCATCTCCACTTCCTTCTTCTTCTTCTTCTTCTTCGTCCACACATTTGTTGGACGATGTGTTGTTGGTTGGTTGGTTGCCAGGCCACACTGAGTTCCTCCTTCCCCATTCTTATTATCCTGACTATCCATCCATCCATCCATCTGATGTGATGTGGTCTGATCTTCAGTATCGAGTGAGCGTAGGCGGCAACTGTTCATGTGATGTATGATGTCTGTAGTTAGTTGGAAATGCTTTTCGTAACGAGCCAAGTCTCCAAGTTGGTTGACTTGTATTGACTAAGTTTTGAATGTGATCAACAAGGTAAGTATCTCAGCACTGTAATACGAAGTATTGTACAAAGGTGGCTGAAGTGACAGTCTTATGCTGGTTGACTGACGAAATACTTTTAAAGCAAACAAATAGTGAATGAGATTGGCTTGTAAAGTCTGGAATCCATTTAGATATTAATCAAGGACTTATGTAACTGACATATTTTTCTAGTCTGAAGTAAATTTTTTTTCAAAAGTACTAAACATTTTTACTCAATTTTGTCCAATTTTTTTATATAGCCTTTTTCTCATCGACTGTGGCACACTTGAAAAGTTCATCTTTAGTGAATACAAGCACAGATACTGAACACTCTTATATGCCTAGTATTTCTGAATCAAATGTTTGTTCATTTCAAAGAAGTCAATCTTATCCTTTACATATAAATGAGACGTATAAATTTCTTGAAGATGAAGATGTCAATACAAAATGTAACTTTTCCAATGGTAAACTATCCTCGTTAAACTTTGATATTAAACCAATTAATCCTTGTGAACTGTCTACTCTGTCAACAAGAGATGATGATTACACTAAAAAAAAGTCTGAAACAATGGATACAAGTCTTCGAACAAGTGATGGTCTGTATAAATGTCGTATTTGTAAACGATTATTTGCTAATCGTTATTCCTTAACAGGACATTATAAATCACATTATGAACCAAGTCAAAAACCGTATTGTTGTGATGATTGTGGTCAACGTTACACTTCACCAAGTAATTTACACTATCATCGTGGTCGTAATTGTCCAGTATTAAAATTAAAAGCTATTCAAGAAGGAAAACTTATTCCAACTAGTGTACATAATACAAAATTATTAGAATTAAAAGCTTTAAGAGCTGTTGAAAGAAAAGCTTTAATGAATAAATTGAAAGATCAAACTACTGAAGACAAAACTAGCAATGAAATTAAAAATACCAATAATGAATTAAATCGTCATCAACCACCTGTACATAAGAAATCACGTTTTACTGATTCAAAATCCAATAATCATTTGAAAAGTTCAAAAAATGATAATACTATAGAATTTTCAGATAGAAATTTTTTTCTAAAAGATGGGCAAAAAACAGAAACTTATGTATCCCGTCTATCGATCAGTACTAATAGTACTCCTACTACTAATACTACTACTACTACCACTACTACTACTAATAATAATAATAATGATAATAATAATACAACTTATAATAATAGTAATAATGTAGTGCAACACAATGAGGATGGCTTTCAAATGCATGAAATATTAAGATTATTTTTAATGCATGCTTATCAATCTGATGAATTACGTCAACAATTATTATCTCTTACATCATCTGCATTGCTTAACGCTTTAGTACCAACAAATGGACTTCATTCAGGTTTATCATTGAATCAAAATGTTACATCAAATCAACAATTATTGAATTTACTTTCTGGTGTTATCAATTCTGTTAACTCAATGGAAAGAACTGATGTAAGTAGTACCAATGTCAATGGTAATAGTAATACTACTAGTAGTATAAATAATAATAATAATCTACCTTATATGCAGCACAAATCTATAATGGAAACAGTTGAGACACAATCTACCAACACATCACCAAGAGTAGAAGAACCAACTGATCTTACAAGTACATCCCGTAAATATAGTCAACAGAATGAGCAATCAACTATTTGTGGTGTTCAATGTCCTATCTGTCATCATCAGTCGAATATATATCCAGATCTTCAAGCATTAGATAAACATATGTTCTTAGTGCATGGTAAATATCCAAGATCATCAACAGGAACAACAACACCACCCATAATAAGTGGTTCATCGAAATCTTTTCCTAGATGTCATTCGTTAACGGAACCAATGCCTTCAAATATTGACAGAGATATGGAGATTAGTAATTCTTTACCAATTACTTCAATTACACTAATGCAACAGAAACAACGTCATCAAGAATCCCAACAGTCTTTAAATTACACAGAAGGTTTCTCTTCTAAAAATAACCATAATCCATCCGATACTATTGACCAGTCATCATCGTCTTCATCAGTAGTATCACCATGGGGTTTCAAACCATCCAGTTTAGTCTCATGCACTGATTGTGATCGCGAATTTTCGACATATACTGCTTTCCGTGTACATCATACAAAATCGCATCAACAAACTTCTGGCAGACAATATCACCGACAGCATAGTGACCATCATCACCACCACCACCAACAATCACAATCACAGCGTATCAGGACACAGTTGAATTCAATAAGTCAAGATTTACCGCCTTCAATTAGTGATCAGTGCAATGTGACATATATGAACGATAATGACAGTGAATAGTAAAAAAAAAAATTAGAGTTTAAATATGCTTCATATTTCTCTAACACCAATACAAGCATTCAAGTGAATATCCTTAAAGCCACATCATGTCAGTATGGTTATCTAATCAATAAGTTTTATCTCTAAGAAAATAGGAACCAAGACATATGTATGTTCATATGCATTGTGAACTTTCTTCTGTTTGAATACGAAAACCGATACTGAACTGTGTCTATATTATGCATCTATATACTTTTAAGCGTTCCTACTAAAACAGTTTGTTTCAAATAACGTCACTAGTATTGATACGTGTACAAGAATATCCCATTGAATACATCTAACTCAACTGATTTGTATACGAGATATATAGTTGTAATTGTTTACAGGTAATCATTGAATTTTCAATACTAATTTCAGTTTATTCCCTATTTGATGAGGTTTTATTTTTTACCTTATAATTATTTCTTCTTTCTTGGATGTTATTTTGTTGATAATTTGAAAAATATGTAACAATAAGTAATAAGTATTATATTGTTGTGAAGAAAATTTCTTACAACACACTTCATCATTACTATTATATAATCATTGTTATACACATTAATGTTTTTTGTATTCATTGAAACAATTAGTAAACAATTTATTTTAAACGCGTTTCTAGTCTGATTTGATTCGCGGTTAGAATGTTCAATGTCAGTTGAACAAATGGAAGAATAATAAAGATTCAATTCATAACAATCTATTCTCTTTTCAGTACTAAATACTATCAAAATAATTTTTATCAACTTTACTTAACATATCCTTTCCTTTTTACTTGTTTACACTTAATAATTATTCATATATGCATTCACTGAAGACAATTGAACAATGAATACATAATAAATTGATTTCTCTTTTTCTTGAATAACTTTAATTATACTTTAATTTTACTTGATTCCAGTTTATTCTTTTCTGTTTCTGTTAAATATAACACATTTTCTGAATCTGTTTCTCGATCAGATTTTAAAAAAAAAAAGGCTATTTGATTACGCATACCAAAGGCTTAAGGAGGACAGTAATATTGAAATAACTGTAATCCTACTGAATGATACAACTGGTATGGGTGGCGTTTTAATAGTTTTGTCATGACAGCAGTATCAAAAATGTTATGGTTGTTATGTGTTAAACATCAACTGATGAGAAGCCTAACTCTTAGGTTTTCTACTTGTTTATGCTCATCAGTAAGATATGTCTGCAGCCTTAAGGATATTCACTTTCTCCCAGGGATTAAAACTTGCAACACTCGGTTTTGAAGTCAGAAACTTTATCACCAAATTATTCAGGGTATAACCAACTCTTTCATCTCCACATTCCATAAAGAAGTCGAATTACTGACATTAAAAAAAATGATAAAATTTGCTTTATGTAGTGGATTCATCTCATCCTCCCTTCTCCTTAGATCCTTTACGGTTTGAATTGAAGAGAGTATGGTAAATACTTAAAATTTTACCCAGAAATACGTTTTATTGATACAAAGCTAATGATCTGCTCAACGGCAAAAATTAAGTCTTCGAACATGTGAAGTTAAGTGTGTACGGAAAGTTAGGTCACTCTGTGGGAATTTAATACTGAATTGAGGTGAAATCATAATTTATGCCAAAAAAATGTTTAGATACCTTGATAAAAGCATTTCAGTTTTAATAGCTTCAGTCAAATTTATTGTCGTCAGACTGTACAGTAGTTTAGCTGAGGAGTATACTTATGAATCGACGAAAAAATTTCAGTATAACCATAATCATTCTCTCATTAACTGATACATGAACGAACCACAAATAATTTCACTGGGCGCCAGTGTCTTATTCTCTTATTTTCACTATTTTAGAGGTCATCGGCACATTGTCTGGGCAAACAAGACTCATCTGTAGTGGTATTTTAAGTTGTCAGATTAATTTTTGTCTGTCTAAGTGAACGATCTAAATTTGTTAGGTGCACTTTGCTTGATGTGAGACTTTGTCTACTGATTTAGACGCACCCATCAAAGTATATGCCCTCAAAGGCAGTTCAAAGGAATTTTTAACTAATGTTTAGAATGGTAGAGATGGGCAGTGGCTAGCAGTGGAATCGAGGATGTACATTCCGTCGTATTTGCGACTCGTCAGCTGGATGTACCTGCCTCCCAGTGAGTGTTGTTCCCACCGGGACTCGGACTCGGGAGCAATCGCTTCAAACTCCAGAGCGTTATCCACTACACCACCGAACCACGACAGCCACTTCTTGTGCGACAGGTATAGGTTTAGTGTTACTGCTTGTATTATACCGTCGTTGAGTGGACCGAATTGATCAGTCTCTGTTGGTATATAGGCTCCTGTGCAGATGCCTCGATATTGCCTGTCTTTTAACTATGTATAGTAATGATGGGTAGTGGCTAGCAGTGGAATCCAGGATGCGCAATAACACTAATGTTTAGAATATTACAGAACTAAGCTATCGTGCACTTGAGATTCTTCAGTGTTTATTGGACATCTCAGATATGTTTATAATACTTTTCCGTAGATGTAATCTTAGTCATCTACCGTCTGAATAAAAGATTTAAGATGCTTGGAGGTAATCAGCAGGAAACTTTGTTAGCCCTAGTTTTCCAGCTTACTGATACTCATTAGCAGGGCATGTTCATAACCTCGAGATAACTGATCCCCCCACCTCCTCCTGAAACATTCAATCCCAGATTACACAAGGCTGGAATCAGAGAAATTAGCATTGAAATATTTGGACCATGATTGATCTGATGACTTTCTAATGACTAAGGTCAAATTTCTTCAGATTTTCGTTTTTATCCTCATATTCATAATACATCGTTGAACATGTATGTAGTTGTGGTCTTACTGATATATAAGATAAATACACTATCACTAAAACTATGGTTCATTTTGCTGAGAAAAAAGTAGAAATTTAATTAGAAGTCATTCTATCAAAAGAAGCTGAAGAAAATTCATACAGAAATCTGCTTCTGATTATGAGATATTTTTTTTAGTTGACTTTCTGCGTGGTAGATGAATAAGCTTTACAAGTTTCCAGAATGTATCATCATTTGATACGCCTGCCTACAAAGTAATTGACTACGCTTACATAACAATACCCCTTGACGTCGTCTATAATAGCTCATTTACAAACTGATTTGCATTTATCACCTTGTATCTACCTTCGATATGGCTGCATTCAGTGTGAGCAATTATTATTATTTGTCTTTTGGGTTTCTCGTGGAACATATGGCTTCAGTAGCATGTCGTCATTTCACTCTATTCTCTCCACTTTTTTCAGCCCAAGTCGTTTCCCATTTGATTTCCACTCAACAGCATGGCCTGGCCTGGCCTGACCTGACCTGGCCTGATCTGGCATCACGCGTGATGTCCCCAAATCGTCTTCTCAGTCTATGCCCAATACTGTTCAAACCATCTCCACTTCCTTCTTCTTCTTCTTCCACACATTTGTTGGACGATGTGTTGTTGGTTGGTTGGTTGTTTGGTTGCCAGGCCACAGTGAATTCCTCCTTCCTCATTCTTATTATTCTTGCCATCCATCCATCCATCCATCTGATGTGATGTGATGTGATGTGATCTGATCTGATCTTCAATATCGAGTGAGCGTAGGTGGCAACTGTTCATGTGATGTATGATGTCTGTAGTTAGTTGGAAATGCTTTTCGTAACGCGTCAATTCTCTCAACCATCACACAGAAGCACTGACTTAATGTTGAGAATCTGGATCTTGTTCACGCATTGTGCTGAGTGGAGTGCAGTAGATCTCTACACTGATCTCCACAGATTAATGTAGAAAGACCTGTCTTTCCGATCCTGTCTACTTTGACGTCTTTATCTGTGCCTGTGCCGCCTGCAGTTGAAACGATGCTGTCTAGGTAGGTGAGAGAGATGACTTCCTTTAGATTTCTCACGTTCATGGTGATTGGTGCTTGTTGTTGTTATTGTTGCTGTTGTTGTTGTTTGGGTGTCTTCATCACTTTTGGCTTCTCTATGTGAGCAATTACATTAAAATATTGGTTATCGAGTACCAGTAGTTTCTTCATCCGCTCTACTTGTGCTGACTAGATTTCATATTATGGTTGGCCAGTTTCCTGTTTATGAGTAAAAGAGTCTTTCAGTAGCCCAAGGTTTAAACATCAATGGATGAAGAAGTGACATTTGAGTATGTGAGCTGGAATTTCTTCGACAATCAGTTCTCCTACCATTAATTTATTCCCTGAATTAATGTGCTCTCCAAACTCAGCTAACTTATGTCTTTTTCTTATGAACAGTTTGGAACTCACTTCAATCCTTAAAGATTATCTTTGATTTAACCTAGATAAAATCCATATTTAAAACTTTGAAACTGACGTTTGGAGTATTTTATCAACTTTCTTATGCTAGAGTATTCTTCTAAGTGGGACATATAATTTGAATACTCTAAATTGTTTGAGTATAAATATTAATCCTAGACAGATGTAATCGTGCTGGTATATCTCGGTTTCCTCACCTTTTATCCAATAAAAACATAAGAGAAAGAAAAATTTATACTCTTAAGAAGAAGCTTACTGTACACCTGTGCATATCTATGTTCTAGAAAATAACACACCTGAAGTTTCTTTCAATGTTAACCACTGTGAATTGTAGTCTCAGTTTTTAAAAAAATGAATAACTGAATTTAAGTGTAAGGCTATCGTATGATTAGAGGAACAGTGAGTAACATGTAGAAACTAGATAATAAGAAGTTTTGGTTGCTCTTTTGAAGGTAGTGTTTTATAATCTACCTTTATGAAGTAAACTTTGATGTACAAGCGGAGGTATGGGAAACTGCCTCCAAACTAAACGTTTTAAAAATGATGGCGGTTATCCTTTCATCCAATCTTTTATTCCCTCAGTACTGTAACGATTAATATCTGAAGAGATTACAATAAAAATGTTCATTATCTGTAAATGTTATCTGCTGATTCTCTTAAGTAGTCTTTCAAGGGAAAAACATAAAACCTCAAAGGTAATCTGGATAATTTTAGTTGGTTGTGGCTGATAGAAGAACCTACTTGGGACTTGTCAGCTGGGTGTACCTACACCTTGGTGGATGATGTTGTTCCCATTGAGACTGGAACCTCGTACTCATCACTTCAAACGCCAAGGCGTTATCCACTAAGCTATGGAGGGACAATAGCCACTTCTTGTACAACAAGTGTTAGTTATTACTATTTATTGACATAGTTGTAACTCACCAACTAAAATTACCATAACTGACATTCAGGCAATATCGAGACATCCGCATAGCGGCCCATATGCCAATAGAGGTTGAACAATTCGATCCAATAAAACAACGGAGAATTAAAAGTATATCAATAAATAGTAGTAATCTGGATAGATTTATCAAATCTTACTGCATTGCTGCACTTAGTACTCAAGTCAGCATAATGATTCTAATAGTAGGTAAACTTCCATCAGTACAAAACTTTATGAGTTTACCAGTGGAATATTATTAGGTTTAGGCTTGCAGTTGTTCTTGAGTGTACTGTACTCAGCTTAACAATTGCTTCCTTTAACCAAGTTCTTTGTTATACTTATCTCTCTAACTACCAACTTTGACCATTTATTTCTGAAAGAAGCTTAGATTTAATAGCTCTACTAATGATAATTTTTCCGCGGAACCAACATTTATGTCTGAGCATTTGCAAAATACATCCATTTTTTTCATAATAATAATGACTTTTAGAAGTAGTATTCATCATGGACTGACATCAGTTGGGGAGCACTGGACAGCTGTTTCGTCCTAGTATGGGACTCCTCAGCAGTACGCACCCACTACCCGGCTAGGGGTCGAACCAGATATTCAATGGTTCCCCAACTGATGTCACTCCATGATGAATACTACTTCTAAATTAAAAATCCCCATTCATCTCAAAAATACATTACTCTCTAGTGCTCTGCTCATTAATGACTTGCTTCCAGATGGATGTCAGGAAGTTCTAATGAGAAGCCG